TGGATGAACTGCCAGACATTTCCAAAGTGGCTGTTCCATTTTACATTCCCACCAGACCTGCATGAGGGTTCCAGTTCCCCCACATCCTCACCAGCACTTGCTGTTTTCCTGGTTTTGTTACAGCCATTCTAGGGGCTGGGAAGTGGTATCTCAATGGTGATTTTGATTTGCAGTTCTCTGAAGATTGATGAAGTCCAACATGTTTTCATGTGCTTATGCTGTACATACCTTTGAGGTGCATTTCTTTTCACTAAATTTAGATTGTTAGCATTTTTAATAACTACATAGTATTTCATTAGATGTGTGTACTTTTACTCATTCAGTTACTCCTCTGCTAATAGGCCTAAATAATAGTTTTACATCAGCTTTGCATGTGTTTGCCATTATTTCCTTTGCAAACATTTCTAGAGGTGGATTTTGGATTCTAGTAATATCTCTATTGAAAGTATTCAATACAGAATATTAAACTATTCCCACAAAATATTCACAGTCATGTAACACTTATAAAAAGTGTGTGTTTTGGAATGTTATCAATTTTTAGATATCAATTTTGTAATCAGTCAACTGACTAAAATTTTAAAATAGTTTTTTAATTGATTGAGAGAGAGAAACATCCATTTGTTTTTCTACTTGTTTATTCATTCATTGGTTGCTTCTTATATGTGCCTAACCAGAGATTGAACCTACAACCTTGGTGTTGGGATGACGCTATAACCAACTGAGCTACCCAGCCAGGGCTAAAACTTATTTTATTTTATTTTTTATTTTTTTTAAACCAGAACCATTTTTTTAAATATATTTTTTATTGATTTTTTACAGAGAGGAAGGGAGAGAGAGAGAGAGTTAGAAACATCGATGAGAGAGAAACATCGATCAGCTGCCTCCTGCACATCTCCCACTGGGGATGTGCCCGCAACCCAGGTACATGCCCTTGACCGGAATCGAACCTGGGACCTTTCAGTCCGCAAGCCGACATTCTATCCACTGAGCCAAACCGGTTTTGGCTTTTATTTTTTAATATATTTTTATTGATTTCAGAGAGGAAGGGAGAGGGAGAGAGAGATAGAAACATCAATGATGTGAGAGAATCGTTGATCGGCTGCCTCCTGCACGCCCCACACTGGGAATTGAACCTGCAACCTAGGCATGTCCCTTGATTGGGAATCAAACGGTGACCTCCTGGTTTATAGGTTGAAGCTCAACCACTGAGCCATGTTGATTGGGCTAAAAGTTATTTTTGATACATGTTTACTCAAATCTCTGAAACTCTGACTCTTGATTAATCATGTTAGGGAATGCCTTATCATTTGCTTCCTCTTCTCTATTATTGATTATTCTTACTTGGTTCTTTATCCAGTTAGTGGGGTTTCATTTCCAGAATGGTAATAGATAATAGTGGTTATACTGCGCATCCTTGCTTTGCTCTTGGCTTTAGAGAAAGTATGTATATGGTTTCACTGGACATATGTAGGATGTATTGGATTTTTCTCACTTGATGTTTTGACATTGCTGTTACCGGAAGGGCTCTTGGAGCTGCCTGCTCTGTCATTTCCATTCTAAGGGATTTCCCATCATAAAGTCCTCTCTCTCTCTCTCTCTCTCTCTCTCTTTCTCTCTCTCTCTCTCACACACACACACACACATTGCTGTTGGTACTTTTTAAAGAGATAAACTGATGCAAATGCAATTTAAGTGATATCCTTTCATCCCTCCTCTTCTTTCCTCCCCAGAGATAACCATAATCTCGAACTTGTTTTATATAATGCGTGTTCTATACTGTTACAAAGTGTGTATATATCCACAAACAATAGTCTTGCTCTATATGCTTTAACTTTTTTTCTATCTGTTTTCCTTTGTATCACATAATGATTAGTGAAAATGCTTGACTTAGTACATTTGTCTTTACACTGAAGTGTGTTTACAATGAGTTGTACAGAGATTTCTGAACAGATACATTAACACATATAATATTAAAGAAATAGCCGAAACCGGTTTGGCTCAGTGGATAGAGCGTCGGCCTGCGGACTGAGAGGTCCCAGGTTCGATTCTGGTTGAGGGCGTGTGCCTGGGTTGCGGGCACATCCCCAGTGGGAGATGTGCAGGGGGCGGCTGATCGATGTTTCTCTCTCATCAATGTTTCTAACTCTCTATCTCTCTCCCTTCCTCTCTTTAAAAAATCAATAAAATATATTTTAAAAATTTATAAAAAAAAAAGAAAAGAAAAGAAATAGGTGTCTGGATCCTCGCCTTTTATATGTCTCTGTCCAAAAATATATGTGTGAGACGTCCCCTGCCGTGGGGGCATCGCAATGTGCTGGTTCTCCTTTGCCCTCACAGAAGGAACACATACTGCCCACACCTTCAGAATCTTATGGTTTATTGCTCCAGAGCTCCAGATAAAGGGACAGATGGCCTTGAAATCAGCTGAGTGACAGTAGCAGGGACAGCATCTGGACCCAGAGGAAAAGTACACTCAAAGCGAATTTACTTTTCAGCCCGCAGGTCCCGGCTCGCGGAACAAGATCTACCAGGTGACCTGAGGAGGAGGTCTCCGGACCTGGATGTCGTCATTTGTGGGGACACCACTGACCAGAGCCTAAGATTTCTACCCAGAAGTTTCGAGCAGCTCAAGAGGAGACCAAAGACACAGCGTCCATCTCCCTGGCCATTTCCCGATAACAGAAGAAAATGATTAAGGACCAGGTGACTCTGGGTTTGTTTTATTCTTTCCTTCATTCTGTGGTTGATTTCTGGAGGACTTGAAAACACGATTGAATTAAATGGAACAGCACGATTTGTGCAGAAATAAATTTAGCCCCTAACTTCAACATTAAGGCAAAATAGGATGAGGAATGTATTGTTCCCGGGAGCCTCCCTAAATGACTAATGTTGGAGCATAGTGTGACTGGAGCATCGTACGGGTTCCATGAGCTGTCACCTTCTGTCTAACATCTCTGACAGCCCTCACGGCCAGAGAGCCATGATGCAGACAGGCTGTTCACCGACAGAGGGGACAGCAGGCCCTTCCTGGGAGGGTGTCACTCTGTGTTTCCTGACATTTAGATTTTAGGTCATTTAAAAATATATATTTTTTAAATTAATTTCAGAGAGGAAGGGAGAGGGAGAGGGAGAGAGAAACATCAATGATGAGAGAGCATCATTGATCGGCTGCCTCCTGCATGCCCCACACTGGGGATCGAGTCCATAACCCGGGCATGTGTCCTTGACTGGAATCGAACCCAGGACTCTTCAGTCCTCAGACCGACGCTCTCTCCGCTGATCCAAACCAGCTGGGGCAGGACATTGTTTATGGTTCTTCCTAGAGCTGAGATATTAGACAGTGTCCTTCACTTCAGCTTTCCTGTAAATGCAATGCGGGGCTCCTCAGAGATCCCTTTGAGAATAGACCACGAGAGCTCAGCGGGCACAGGTTTTCATAGGACCATAACAGTGAGACCCATCGACCCAGCCTTACGGCAGTGAGGATTAATCTAGAAACAAAACCTCAGTGGCCTAAGAAAATGGAAGGATTGCATGGCACTCAAAGGTCCTGTATGACAACGTGGCTGAGCTGATGTTTGAGGTCAGGTTTGGCAGTAGGCAGTGTGGAACGTGCTGTTGTCTGCTAAGGTTGTTGGGGTCCCAGAGGCTTTTCTTTACTACATCCTCCTCTCTAAGATAGAACACTCTTTCCTGTGTTCAAAGCCACTTCCTACTGCCTCATCTCTTATTACCTTCCAACCACACATCGTTGTATATGTGGTCCATCACTGGCCGAAACGTTGTTATGTAGCACGTGACTATATTTGTGTTTCTTGAAGGCTGCTGTTTACTTTCTTAGTCTGCTTAATGACTTGAATAGTCTCCTGTTCTTAGATGTTAGACAGATGTTTTGGAAAAATGCTTTATTTCTCCTAATGTATAAAATATATTTGTTTAATATGTAGTGTCTTATAATTATACTGTCTGCATTTTTTTTTTCTGGGTGATTCTGATGATGGCTATCAAGATTGACAGTAAATGTAGGAATGGAATATGTTTTAGTTACCTTGACATTAGTAGTATATATTTAGCACCTGGCAAATATGTGCCTTTAAAATATATATATATACATATATATTAAATACAAATATTTCTGGTTTGAGAAAGAGGACTTAATGACTATTTATTACATAAATACTTGATTTGTAGAATGATGGTTGACTGCATGATTACAGAATAGTTTACTAGAGATTGATGTTGAATATGGATAGATTTTGCTTCTATAACAATGTAGTTTAAAAAAAATCAAAACAGCCCTAGCTGGTTTGGCTCAGTGGATGGAATGTTGGCCTGTGGACTGAAGGGTCCCAGGTTCTATTCCGGTCAAGGGCACATGCCCGGGTTGCAGGCTCAATCCCCAGTGTTGGGGGGTGTAGAAAGCAGCCAATCAATGATTCTCTCTCATCATTGATGATTCTATCTCTCCCTTCCTCTCCGAAATCAATAAAAATATATTTTTTAAAAAATCAAAACACTTAATATAGATGTAGCCCATATGGTAAAAATGAGCAGAACAACTTTCTTCACATTCCTTCCCTTTCAATAACAAGAGAAACACTCCTATTAAACAGGACCTGTTATTACAGGAATCACTCACACTGGAGGATGTGGCCGTGGACTTCACCTGGGAGGAGTGGCAGCTCCTGGGCTCCGAGCAGAAGGACCTGTACAGGGACGTGATGTTGGAGACCTACAGCCACCTGGTGTCACTGGGTGAGGACACCTCCCCTGTGTCACTCAGAGGGTGGCCTTTCATGGCTTCTGAAAGGTCTGGAGTGTCTGTGATGCTCTGAAGTAGTGGATGAGTCTCAGTCCCCTCTCTGGTCCCAGGTTAGAGGGTATAATGTGCCCTAGTACAGAGGAAAGCCTTTCCTTTGCTGACCTGCAGGCTGCGTAGTTCATTCTTCCGTGTTAGCACACCAAAGGCCGTGTCAAAGAGCCTGTCTCTTCTGTCACTTCCCATGAACAGGGTATCCAGCCAGCAAGCCAGACACACTGTCCAGATTGGAACGAGGGGAACCATGGACAAGAGAAGATGGACTCCACAGTGGGATCTGCTCGGGTGAGTGAGAGAGCCAGCAAGGAAGGTGTCCGGGAAGTCCTGGTCCATTCGTTCAGAGGTGTCACAGCGTGAGGTGTCTGAGGACACGTACACAGAGCCTCCACGAACCACCCATAAAGGAGCTCTCTTTCTGTAGGTGTTTAGAGGAACAGGTCTCTTCTTGGACTTGCTCCCTGTTTGTTCCATCGAGGTCTTGATTGTCCCCCCTCTCTGCTTCTTCTTACAATTCTCAGTCTCACCATCTTGCTTCCCCCAGGAACAGTACCTGTTCCTTCATTTTCTTGCTCGGAAATTCCACCTTCCACGGCCTCTGTTCGAGGAGAGATGTGTGATGTTAGCACTGTCTTCTGACTACAGCCCCTTCTCGCCCCGTTGGATAAGGTTGTTTTCCCTTCCTAACACCCGCCCCCATCTTTGATTGGGGTTAGGATTTTATTTTATTTATTTACTTACTTTTGTTAATCCTCACCCAAGGATATTTTTTCCATTTACTTTTAGAGAGAGTGAAAGGGAAGAAGGGAGGGAGAGAGAAACCTTGATGTGAGAGAGACACATCAATTGGTTGCCTACTGCTTGCTCCCCGACCTGGGCCGGGGATGGAATCTGCAACCCTTGATCGGAATTGAATCTGAGACCCTTCAGTGCACAGGCCGACACTCTAACCACTGAGCAGCAACAGCCAGGGCTGGATTCATTTCCTTTTTTTAAAAAAAATATATTTTATTGATTTTTTTACAGAGAGGAAGGGAGAAGGATAAAGAGTTAGAAACATCCATGAGAGAGAAACATCGATCAGCCGCCTCCTGCACATCTCCTACTGGGGATGTGCCCGAAACCCAGGTACATGCCCTTGACCGGAATCGAACCTGGGACCTTTCAGTCAGCAGGCCAACACTCTATCCACTGAGCCAAACCGGTTTCGGCTGGATTCATTTTCTTAAAGCTTTCCTTTTCCTATAGAATATTGGGGAGACATTACATCCCAGTTAATCATAGCCATGTCAGTCATATAAGATGGACATTTCTCTTTTGTCAATGACCTTCATTATATGGTGTGATCTTGCTTATACAGTTGGTTCCTCCCCCCCCACTCTCCCGCTAAAACTCAGGGTCAACTATATTAAGGGAGCCTCCACAATATTTGGCATACATGAGAATCTTTCCTTGGTCCATTGCTTTAAATCCCTTTTGATTGCGCTAAATGTTGTTGGGATAACCTGTTACACACTGGCGCTGCCAGCCATGAACACCACCTCCAAGATAATGCTTGGCGATTTTTATTCTAAAACAAGAGGACATAAAATTCATCATAGTAAGTCTATATAAATAAGATGTCTTGAGGTGAAAAGTGCTGAGATGATCAATCAAACAGCAAAAGGGAATAGTGTGTGAGGGGGCTGGGAGCTGCTGTTAGCAGCCAGGAATCTATTAGGCCCTTCAATCTTCAGTCATCTAGGACGGGGAATGCCTCTTTGGTAAAATGACTTTAAGCAACTATATGAGGCAGCGGTTCTCAACCTGTGGGTCGCGACCCCTTTGGCGGTCGAACGACCCTTTCACAGGGGTCGCCTATGACCATCCTGCATATCCGATATTTACATTACAATTCATAACAGTAGCAACATTACAGTTATGAAGTAGCAACAAAAATAATTTTATGGTTGGGTCACAACATGAGGAACTGTATTTAAAGGGCCAGAGGTTGAGAACCACTTATATGAGGGATGTGAGCAGGTCTGTTGGGTGAATTGCGTTCCAAAGTAGACAACCCTTGAATTGTTTCAGAGGCCCAAAAAGAACCTCAAGGAAACCTGTTGAATA